GTCACATCTCTGCACACAGGACCCTCATCTGGGAGAGGGCACGGACTGCAGAACCGGTGATTTGTTTCTATTTCAAGGAATTAATTCCAAGTGCAGTGAAGAGGCAGCTGTAAGCCTGCCCCACTTCAGCCTCACGGAGATTTTCTTACAAACGCCAGCAGGGGACCCTGGCCGAACTGCAAGCAGCTCCCCTCCTGAGAAGGCTCCTCCATCCCTCTCCTCCTCTCCTCCCTCTCCTCTCCTCTCCTCTCCTCTCCTCTCCTCTCCTCTCCTCTCCTCTCCTCTCCTCTCCTCTCCTCTCCTCTCCTCCCCTCCCCTCCCCTCTCCTCTCCTCCCCTCCCCTCCCCTCCCCTGTCCCCTCCTCTCTCCTCTCTGCTCCCCTCTCCCCTCCCCTCCTCTCTTCTCCCCTTTCCCCTCCCCTCCCCTCCCCTCCTCTCCCCTCCCCTCCCCTCCCCTCTCCTCTCCTCTCCTCTCCTCCCCTCCCCTCCCCTCCCCTCTTCTCTCCTCTCCTCTCCTCTCCTCCCCTCCCCTTCCCTCCCCTGTCCCCTCCCCCTCTCCTCTCCTCTCCTCTCCTCTCCTCTCCTCCCCCTGTCCCCTCCCCTCTCCTCTCCTCTCCTCCCCTCTCCTTTCCCCCTCTTCTTTCCTCCCCTCCCCTCCCCTCTCCTCTCCTCTCCTCCCCTCTCCTTTCCCCCTCTTCTTTCCTCCCCTCCCCTCCCCTCTCCTCTCCTCTCCTCTCCTCCCCTCTCCTTTCCCCCTCTTCTTTCCACCCCTCCCCTCTCCTCTCCCCTCCCCTCCCTTCTCTTCTTCCCCTCTTTCCCCTCTCTTTTCCTGTTGACTTTCCCCCTCTCTGTCTCCACAGAGGCTGCGAACATTTGAGAATCTAACAGAAATATTACTGTGGCATGAGAAAGAAGCAACTTGAACGTGCGCTGTGCAGATTAAAGATGAATGTGTCATGTTGTTCCATGTCTTACAAAGTCTGTCCCATGCACAGTGCTTGGCAAACACAGATCCCTCTATGGCAGTGGTTCTCAGTCTCCATGATGCTGCTACCCTTTAATAGAGTTCCTCATGTTGTGGTGACCTCCGACCGTAAAATTATTGTTGTTGCTACTTTTACAAGTGCAATTTTGTGGCTGTTATGAATCATAATGCAAATATCTGTGTTTTCCAATGCTCTTAGATGACCCCTGTGAAGGGGTCATTCAACCCCCAAAGAGGCCGTGACCCACAGGCGAGAACCACTGCTCTACCGGTATCAAGGGATGAACGCCTCCACGGTGGCATTTGCCTAGAAATGGGCTGTGTTTTTAACGCCCCACTGTGCTGGGTATGTCTGGCTTCCTGTGCGGATGCTGGCGGCAAATGGCTAGCACTGGTACCTGCTATGAGGACTGTTGCCCATACTGTGTGATGTCACTGGGCGTTGTCAACCTGTACTCTACTGATGTAACTCATGGTCACTCAGGACTGCAGAGTGTGGCCTTCCATGGGAATGGGGTGGTCGCAGATGGGATTGTCTGGATTTAGGGTGTCCTTGTTAAAGACACAGGAGGAGGGCATCTGGACATGATGAGGATAGGCTGCGGATGCCATGCGTGTCCAGGAACACCTGGCCACCAGGCTTTGGAGGAGGGGAGGCCACACCCCAAGCCTCCTTAATAAGTATGGCCTTCCCCCTGATTTTGGTTTTCCAGCCAGCAGACTTGTAAGCTGCCACATAGCCCCACCTACTAACGCAGGCCCTCTGTAGAGAGAAGGGAGCCCTGGGTTCCATCATAGAACCCTGGCGGCAGTCCCAGCGCTCTGGTGTTCCTGGGTTTCAGGGTGGGGTTCTGGACTGTGATTTCTCCATCTGCAGACCCTATGTTCACAGCACAGTGTTCCCTTTGGTGGAGCTCAGGCAGTTGGCCCTGCCTCAGCGTGTCCCAACTACACTCATAGCATAAGTATACAAGCCAGCAAGGGAAGGCCACTCAGCCAAACAAACGCAAGAGGGCCGTCACCTCTCTCTCGGGGGGAAGGGGGGAGAAGGCTCAGTCATGCCTCCAGCACAGGGGCATACAGTGACACAGCCCTCCCTCTTTTCATATCCCACAGAAGGGGGCACGGGGCAGGTCGGTGGGTGAGAGGCGGGGAAGCGGCGTTTGACTGGCCCTGGAGAACTTGTGACCAGGGCTGGAGGGGTGGGGAGTGGAAGGACACAAAGGAAGTTTGCTTGGGGTCATGCACCATGCCGGTACGAGTCACATGTCACCTTCTGGCTGCTGTGGCTTTACCCGCAAGTCTCTGGGATGGGTGCTTCTGAAGGTTCTAGATTGTTCTAGATCAGTGACCGACAGATGCAAATGCCATAGACTCTCATAGTTAATATTTATTTCAGGGGTCAGTGGCTCCATCCTCAATCTAGAAGGTGTGAGAGTGATGTGAACGGCAGCTGCCCTTGGGGCCACCGGGCAGTGTGCTTTGGGGGCTTGTCTAGTCGGGTTGCTCTTGACAACCCTTCCGCCCCAGCCAACTTCATTTGAACACAGTGTGTAAACACTGTGCAGGGTTCGGGGGAGCAGAAATCACGGGTGGTACTCATTTGAAAAGTCCAGGAAGCTTCATGCTTCATCAGTACCATTGGCCGGGTCAGGTTTCCCTGCCCCTCCTTCCTCCTTCTGCTCCCTGTCATTTTATCTACCCCTTCCTGTCTTTCATCTCCCTCCCTCCCTCCCCCCTCCATCCCTCTCCCCTTTTCTTTCCTCTCTTTCCACCCACCCTCCTTCCCTCCCTCCCTCCCTTGACCTCCCCCCTCACACCCCATTATGAGTTGTTTTTGCTCGACACCATTTTTTCAACCAAGATAGAATCTGGCTATAAATAAACCTCATTTGAGGCTGTAAGCCTAAAAACCCCTCTGACAATTAATAGACACATATTGATCAAAGCGCATTCCCCACGCCAGCATTCCCAAGTTTTTTCGCTACAAAAGTCTAATTCAGCAAGCTTGGGTCCTCTATGGTGACTGGGTGACATCAGGATGACAGACAGATCATAGGAGTCTGTATCCAGTGACCAGGAAGCCAAGTCTCTCTCTCTCTCCCTCTCTGTCTCTGTCTCTGTCTCTGTCTCTGTCTCTGTCTCTGTCTCTGTCTCTCTCTCTCTCTCTCTCTCTCTCTCTCTCTCTCTCTCTCTCTCTCTCCCTCTCTCGGAATTCTATCGGACCCTAGATTGTTATTTTCTTTAATTTAATTTGTTTTCATTTTACATTTCTACTATACATATGTGGCGGTCAGATGACAACTTCTGGGAGTCGATCTTTCCTTCCACCATGTGGGTTCTGAAGACTGAGCCCAGGCTGTCAGGGTTGGCAGCAAGCACCTTAACTCACTGAGCCATGCTCCCCCCACAGCCCCCTCCCCAGTAAGACAGTGGTGTAGGGGCATGGTCTTTTGCCAGAGATGCTTGGGCCCAGAAGGGCTTTGGAATTCAAATTTCTTTGGATTTGGGATTGTTTGCACAATGAGATGCTTGGGGAGCCCATGTCTGAACACGACACTAATTTGTTTTATATATGCCTTCCACATATAGCTGGAGTATGCTCTCTACTGCACTTTTGTGACTTTTGCAGTGAAACCTGTGGTGTGGGACTCAGAAACTTGGAGTCTGGAGCATTTCAGACTTCAGAGTGGGTTGCCAGAGATGTTCTGCTCCTGCTCCCAGAGTGCCCTGGTCAGCCTGTCTCTGTGTCAAGGGGAGTTTGAGAGGCTCTAGACCATCATAGAACCCAGCTGAGGGCTAATGTGATTTGTCATTTACTGAGTAGTCTAGACACTTCTATTTACTAGTAAAAACAGTGTAAGTCACAGTCTCACTGTGTAACCCTGGCTGTCCTGGAACTTTCTTTGCAGACTAGGCTAGCCTTGAACTCACAGAGATCCTCCTGCCTCTGCCTCCTGAGCACCGTGATTAAAGGTATGTGTCACCACACCAGGCTAGTTCTAATCTCACATAAACAGTTTTCTTGTAAAAGTGGAACACACTGTGATTTTAGCTTAAACTAAACAGCTCAGGTGGTGACAGGGTGCTGTGTCCACATGAGGTCCCTGGCCGGTTCAAAAGACTTTGTGGTCCAGAGAGTCACGGCTGGTTCAGAATGGTGTCAACTCCATGAGCTGTCCTTGGTGCCACAGGGGAAGACAGATCCCCAAAGAAGGGAGGCTTCATCTTTTATTGACTACCCTCATGATCCTACAGACCTGACTTCAAACCCTCTTGCCCTGCATGTGAGCAGGAGGGAACACTCACCTGCATCTCTGACATGCTTGATGATAATGCACCCTTCTGCATGGGCTCTGCATGCATCTCTGACATGCTTGATGACAGCTCACCATTCTGCATGAGTTCTGCATGCATCTCTGATATGCTTGATGATAGCACACCCTTCTGCATGGGCTCATGTCACATTGATGCCCCACACTACCTAATACCACACCACGTTTCATCATTCTAGAATTCAGAAGACAGAAGGGTAACAACAGCCCAGCTACAGTGATCCCGTGTATTTTTTTTTCCTAAAGGCAGTTTGTAGAGGTTTCAGATGGCGAGCTCCCCAGGATCCTATAGTTCACCTTGCGTGAGGTGTGGTGTGAGTGGTCTGGCCTTGGAAAAATGGAACAGAGTTTGAAAGTTACATCTGTGGGGAGCAACGGTGTAAAATAACACCATAGTTGGACTTCTCCATTTCCAGCTGCAGGTTGCCTTTTTTTTTTTTTTGCTTTGGCTTTTGCATGTTTTGTTGACTGATTCCCTCCCTCCCTCCTTCCCTCCCTCCCTCCCTCCCTCCTTCCCTCCCCTTACTTTGTTCCTAACAAGGTCTTACTGTATATCCCAGACTGGCCTGGATCCCCCTGCCTCCGCTTCCTGAGTGGTGGGATTATAAGCATGTGCCACAACTCCCTGCCAGTCTAAATTTTTTTCCCCCGGTGAATTCCATCTTACTGAAAGGCTGCTTTAGCGTTTGTGTGCATCTTTGTTCAACTGATAGGTAAAGGAGTGAGAGACAGATGCAAAAGAAAATCAGTCTTCTTTTGCAACCCAGAGCTCATTGTTTAGTATAGTTTTGGAACATAGAAGAAGGACTATGACGCACAAATGACAGCTCAGAGTGATGCTTGTGTTAGTAATGAATTTGGCTCTAAGAATAAAGAGTTTATAATTTAGAAGAGTAGGTTAAAAAATAGAAACTTAATTTGCGGTGAGTTGTACAGTATTGTTCTCTGCACACAATGCTACTTAGCAGAACTCTAGAGCTCACCCATCCTGCAGAACTTTGCCCCTGCTAATTGGCAGCTCTCTACCACCCCACCCCTTCCCAGAGCAGCCACTGTTCTGCATTTCACACTTATGGCTTTGGCTGTTTTAGATGATGATCATTAATATTTAGACGCTCATTTATGATACTTATAAAGTGTTTGTACTCCATCGATGGGCTTAGTCACTCAGCATCATGCACCCAAGGCTCATCTATACTGTGGTAACTGGCAGGGGCTTCCTTCTTTTTCCAGGCTGAGTAACACTCCCTGGTAAGTGCATGTCGCGTTGTCTTTCTCCTTTCCTCTGTCCAAGGGCATTAAAGTTGTTCACGCTGGCTGTCTTGAACAGCAGCGCAATGCCCATGGCCGACAGGCGCCTCTTAGAAATCTTGACTTCAATTCTTTGGATTTATCTTAGAAACGAGATTGTACAGTAGTTCCATTTTTGATTTTTGGAGAAAATTCTTTCATGTTTTCCATATCATTTAAACTTTTTTTTGAACTAGGCTGTATGTAGTTCAGGCCAACCATACAATGAAACTTTTGAAAACACAAGTTTGATGAAGTTTTGCTCCTTGTACGTTGCTGGTCTCAGGTATTTTGTCTTAGACCGACAGTTAACCAGCAAGTTACCTGGCTTCCCTCTGCATCAGTGTCCTCTTCTTTAAGGCAGGATCCCGGATAGGACTAAAGAAATAACATGTGCGGACCATAGCCTGGAACTTAATAGGACAAGTTATTACAAAGACGTTTGCCTCCATGTTGCTGTGTGGTTGCTGGTGTCTACATGGCTTCTGATCAGTAGAACTCCCTACAGAGATTCCCCTCTCTAGCAGGAGGGTACTGAAATAGTGAATAAATATTATAATGGCACCATTAATAACGAAGACTGTGAACATAGATCCAACATGCCGTAATAGATGTGACTGAGCCATTAGGGGATTCAAGTGGGTTCAGGTACCTGGTTTAAACTGAGAGGGTTTCACAGCCTAGGCAGATGCAGTGAACGAGTTACATTTGGCTCCCTGATCAGAGATATAAAAATCACGTTTTGTCGAAATTATAGCAAATACACTGCCGTGGTTATTTTTGTGAGTGCTAAGTCACCTTGGTGGAGGGAGCAGTCTGCATAGATGTCCCCGGTGCAAAAGTCTGGGGGTCCTTGATGTAGTCTCAAGAGAGGGAGCTGGGCTTTGCTCGGAAACAACTCCTTCCCATCACACCTATGCACGTGCAGATAGACCCTGCTCTGGTTTCATTTCTGTTGTGGTTATGAAACACCTGACAGAAAGCATAGGAAAGGAAGGGTTATTTCAACCCCCAATCCCAGTGTAGTCCATCACAGATGCACGGAAGTCACGGCATCAGGGATTGCAAATAGCCAATCACCTCACACACACAGTGGAGAGCTGAGAGAAATGTGAGCATGCATGCTCAGTGTTCAGCTAACTTTCTCCACTCTTCTACAGAGCAGCGCTCAAACCAAGGGAATGCTTTCAGGCCGGGTCTTCCCACACCAGTGAAGGCAATCAAGATAATCCGTCACAGATGTGCTTAGGTTGGTCCAGCCTGGTCCAGATAACCTCTTAGTGAGATTCTTGTCCCAGTTGATTCTAGGTTGTATGGAGTTGACAATTAAACTGTCACAAACAACTTGAGACGCTCTGGCTCATTGGAAGTTGGTTCGAAAGTGATTTGCCCAAGGTTACCTGAAGAGTCATGTGAGTTTACAAAGCTGTCCTATTGATACTTACTCTCTGTTCCCCAGCCATAGGAGACCCTGCTCTTAACTATCATTATCATAAGGAAAGCACAGACAGAGGCTATTATGGTTGGTTCCTATACTGCTTACTAAACAGTACAGATTAGTTAGTATTGTCAGTGTCAGCTGCAGTAACAAATAGTCCCAACATTTGAATGGCTTAATCGGACACATCAGTGATATCCAGACATGTCATGGCCTATCGTGAAGTGACTTGGTGACAGATCTCTCCTTCCTATGGCATTGCCCACTTCTAGGACTACATGGAGTGTTCTGCAGTCAGTTATGCTGTGAGAATATGGTTGATCATGCAGGACATTTGCCAACAGTAGAAGCTGATCATGTAACCCCTTATGTATTCCAGGGAAAGGCTGAGAAAGTTCTCTTCCTAGGTGCTGTGGTTTGGGAGTGAAATATCTCCCACAAGCTCATGTGTATCAACACTTGGTCCCCAGCTCGTGGTGCCATTTTGGAAGGTTGTAGAAGGCTTAGGATGTATAGTCCTACTGGAGGAAATGAGTCACCAGGGTCTGGCATTGGGTCTTTGAGGTTTTAACCAGACCCTACGATCCTGCCATGCCTTCCTCAGCTTCAGTGAACTATGACCTTGAACTCTGAGCTCTTCTTTCGGTTGCTTCTGTCAGGTATTCTGCGACAGAGAAGTAAAATAATTCCCTGAGGGCCCTAGGGAGAGAAATGGATTTGAAGACACTGACCACTCGTAGTCCCTGTGGTTTATGAACGGGCATGTGAGCCACCTTCTGTTGGGGCAGCCTGGTCTCAGGCAGCAACTTTGGAGACTGTAACATCTAGGTAAATAGAAAAGGTGTCTCATGCCTGTGAAGATGAGTTCATTTCTTTATCCTCATCAGGGTTCCTACCCATCTAAGGAAGAAGCGTCATGGGGAAGGGGCTTTTGGACCCAAGCTCTTAGATACCTACCCCCAGATGGTACTGGGAAGCTCCTCAGTCTCTGGATCCAGCCTGCTGTGGGGTGATCTCAGTGCAAGCCATTTTGAATCTGAATTTGCTCTCTCTTAGAGGTGAACTCATCCTGACCAGTAATGGGCAGCACGAACATTTCATGGAACAGTGTCTACAACTGAGCGAGGCTGTCACCATGACAGTGATAACCCAGACTATGACAAAGAAACAGAGCCAGACATGGAGACTGGGCCCAGATCTCAGAGGTACAAGGAAAGCAGGGGAGTACGGGCTTTGGATTTAGAAAGACCTTGGACTCTTCTCGGCTCTGTGATCACAGGCAAGTTACACACCCTCTCTGAGTGTGGTCTGTTTACTCGTGGAGTCCTAATGCCCATCCAGCTAAATGATGAAGAGCAGTATGGAAAATGCTTGGTTCACAGTTAGCACTCCATGGCCGCTAAGTTCCTTGCTTATTGACCTTCAGACACAAAAGCACCTGTTTTGTCTAGTCTCTGAGTCAATTAACCAGCGGCTCCCCCCCCTCGTACTGCCACAGACAGCCTTGCAGAGGGGTTTCTTATCTGACACCCCACTTTAACACAGCAGCCAGGTTGGACACTCCATTATTCATATTCTGCAGTAATGGGCTCATTAAACATGGCCTCGTGACTCCGCAGAGCCTGGAACGGAACCAAAGGCCACTTCTCCAGCGGTTGTTTTCGTCCCCAAGATGCTTATGTGTTTTGGAGAGGATGCCAAGATTTCCAGCAAAGGAGTCACATTCTTTCCAGAAGGAGACAGCCTATAAATTATTAGTAAGTAAATAAATAAATAACCATCGGGTTCTGTCAGTTTGGGAGGGAAGAAATCAGGCAATCGGCGTTGGCTGTCGTGTCATCCACTTGATTGACTGAATTGTGAGTTTATTTTTTTGGAGGGGGAGGGAGGTAGAGGGGAGGGAACTTCAGCCCTGTGCAGATCTCTGACAAACAAGTTTGGGAAACAAACTTGGAGAGCAAGAAGAGCGTTGGCTTCGGCAACTGCTCCACTCCCCTGTAATTAAACACGGCATAGCGCCCGTCGTACCTGTCACTTTGCATGCGCAGAGAGGTGCCAGATGAACACGGGGACCTCACCACCTTATAAAAAATTAAGTGCAACATCATCTTGATGCGTTTTTGATCTGTACATATATTATTGTTTCTGGCAATTTCAATTCTAATATTAGGAATGAAAGAGCCTCGTGTTCAAAGAATCCATCAATTCTTTTCATTTATTTACTTTTCTAAAAGGAGCTTTTTCCACAAAAGCAATGTTTTATATCTTCTTAAGGAAAAAAAACAAAAAACTTTTATAATGACCTCATTTCCCTTCCTCTTTTAATATTAAAGTACAATTGTAGAGGTAGAATCCATGCTCAATAGTGATTGACAGTTCTAGGGGTACTGACAAATGTGACACCATCACACAAAGACATGGGAGAGTTCATTGTGGGAAAACATCTTTCCATATCCTCCTGGCCAGTCCCTGCTGGTTAGTCTGATGAACGTCTTGTCCCGGTAATCCTGCCTCTATGAGAACCCCGGCTGGCTGGCAATCGGTGTGCTTGACCTAAATGACTTTGACATTCTTGTCTTTTCTCATGGGTATTGTTTTTTTTTTCTATTTCATTGATGGATACTATTCCAATATATAGATGTAACACATTTTGACGTTTGTTTGTTTCCCAGGTGAGACACTTGGTGGTTGTCAGCGGCTGTAAACACTCCCCTATAGAATTCATGGGAAGCCTGGAGTACATTCTGCTTCGGCAAAGACTTAGGAATTGCACAGTTGGGGTTATCAGGCAAATGTCTGCTTCATACTGTAAGAGACTTAAGATTTTTGCCTGTTTTTCTCCAGAATGCCATTTTATGATTTGTTTATTTTGTATGATGTGCATGAGTGTGTGCCTACATGTATGTCTACGCACCAAGTGTGTGCAGTGCCCTCTGGGGCCAGAAGAGGGCACTGGATCCCCTGGAATTACAGGTGGTTATGCACTGCTATGTGGGAGCTGGGAACTAAACCCAGGTTCTCTGCAAGAGCAGCCAGTGTTCTAAACCCCAACCATCTCTCCAGCATCCAGGATACCATTTTAAA